GGTCAAGACGCAAACATTCTGAAGCATGAGATCTAGAGAGAGTTGCAGTGCGGCAGTGACAACACTGCTTGCGGGGGTGATAAAACAAACATCCAAGGCGATACTGCAGAAGCCTCAAGATTGACGAAATAGGGAAGCATGGAGGAGCAATTGCTAGCGCATGAGGGTGTGCAGATGCAAGGGGAGCAAAGCTAGCAGCTATAGAACCATAGGCAGATGAGGCTACTTGGTGAAAGTGATTTGCGATAACATCAGAAGGTTTGGGAACTACAACATTTGCAGCCGGGAAGAGGAAGTGATTGTTGAAAGGGACAGGAGAACAACGAAATTGCTTTCCCTGGTGAAGAAAGAATGACAACATAGAGTGAACCATATCAGGGGCATCATCATCCAGCCAACGTTGAAACATCTGAAACTGCAGATATTGAAGCCGAAACTGAAGGTCAGGAAACTTAAAAAACAGTAAAACCCCAGCAATTGAAGTGGAAAATGAAAGGCGAAGAAATCGACACAAACATTTGTGAATAAAAGTCCGAACTGGTTTGCAAACAGCAACAGAGGGAAGAATAAAATATAAACCAAATTCAAGCGTAGGTCGAATAAAAGACAAAAACAAATGACGAACCACAACCAGAGAATGAGAACCAAACATCCTTGAAAAAGAAAGCAAAGCAAAAGAAGCTGCGCGCGCTTTGGCAAGTCGATGGGAAATAGTCAGTGAAACATCAAATCCAGTATCTCCAAAAAAGCAACCCAGATAACGAAATGAAGGCTTGACAGGCAGAGTTTGACCATGAAGAAGCAAAGGCGAATGAGCAGGAATAGGAATTTTTGTGAGAATCACAGACTTCAAAGGAGCAAAAGAAAAACCACGAGCTTGGGCAAACTGGTCACAAACAGAGAGAAGAACCTGCATAGCATCCAAAGTAATTGCAAACAAGGCCAAATCATCTGCAAATAAAAAAGAATTATATCGTGGTTTGGCAGGATGAAAGAGTGTTATAGGTGGGGCAAATGGTCGGAGGAGCCCAGGTAGAGGATCAAGAAAAGTGATATAGAGAAGTGGACTGAGAACAGAACCTTGAAACAAACCTCTAAACAAATCAAAAGCATCTGAAAAACAATTTGCAACAACCACTCTGGAAGAACAAAAATCAAACAGAGACTTCAAAACAAAAACAAATGGCAACGGTACTCCCCTAGAAAGAAGCTCAGCCCAAAGAATTGCACGATTTGTGGTGTCATAAGCTGCTTGAATATCTAAAAAACCAGCAACCCAAGGAACCTTGGCATTAGACGCACGGGAGATACATGCCTGAAGACCAAAAACACATTCCATTCCCGAGCGGTGTGACTGAAATCCCGCTTGGGCAGCATCAAGTGGGCGTTGAGACGTGATAGCAGAATAAAGATGTGGCAACAAAGCTCGCTCAAAAATTTTTCGGGCAACACACGAAAGAGTAATGGGGCGATAATTAGTAATATCACCAAGCGTACCACGTTGCTTCCAAACTGGGTGCAAAAGCCCAAGATTCCATGAAGTGGGTGTAAGACTACTGCGAAAAATGGACTGAGAAAGTTGCAAGAACAATGGAGCAAGAATAGCTGAAATTGGGCGATAAAGTTCTGCCGGCAGACGATCATGACCCGGGGCAGACTCCAAAGGGCAGTCCCTAATAGCTAGAACAAAAGCTTCAACATCCAATGGCAGCTGAAAATCACACAGAACAATTGAAGGTGAAACTGGGTCAGCAGCTTGAGCATTGTAGACACTAGCAAAATGATCAGAATATTTGGCTAAAGACTGAGGATCAAAATCTAAACCATTAGCTGAAGTACGAAAGTTAGCGCAGCGCCGAGCATGAGACACATGTTTCAGAAGAGAAGTTACTGATGAAGAACTAGGGTCATCAAAAAAATTTGCTTTTGTCTTACGCCTGTGTGATCTCAGAGCTGATTTGAATGCTTTGTGACTATCACGTTGGCGAGTTCTTAGAAAAGGAAGAAGAGGGTCAGAAGAATTGTGGTGAAAGAGGGAATAATAGTCACGGAATGCTGAACGAGCCTTACTACGCAACAAAGCAATCTCAGGGGGCAAAGGAGTGGTCGCTGGTGCTCTACGACGAGGTGTTGGTGGTCCCAATGTCAGAACTGCTGTTGCCTCAACAAAATCAACTATAATTTGAAATGCGGAATCAATTGCTCCCTGGGCCACTGCACGAGAAAGAGAAGTCCCCACAGGGACCTGAAGTGGTTCCAATGCTGCTGTTAGCGCCTCTGATGTTGGAGGAAGCAGAATCTTAGCAGTTTCTCTGTGCGACTTACGAATAACTTCATCCTTTAACAATCGGAGATTCCAAGAAGGTAGAGGAGGAGGCACAGTGGCCTGAGGATCTGGGCCAGCTAAAGAAAATGAACAGGTCACTGCAAAATGGTCTGAAGGATGGGGAGCCATAGACTGGGGTTGATCATGCACTAAATAAGAGGAAGCTGTCACATAAGTAGAAGCAAAAAACAAATCAATAATTGAACTCCCTAAGTGGGAACGAAAAGTTGGGCGACGAGCTGAAGAAGAAGCTGGGACAACCAATGAAAGTGAGTGGGCTGTAAAAAAAGGAAGAAGTGCTCTGGCACGGGCATTAGTAAAATGATCACCAGTGCTCTGAGTTCTAAAATTGAAGTCACCCATCAAAACTACTGGTGTATCCGAATTCGAAACAAATTGAGGAAAATCAGATAATGCACCCAAACAGTCTTCCGCAGTCCAACGTGGGGGAAAATAAAATCCACCAATCACAACCTGACGAAACCTAAACCACAAACCAAACCCAGAAGGAACTGATGCAATCAACCTAAATTGATAAGTACTGCAACGATGTGGGTTAATAAGAAGAGCAACACCAGATGCCAAAGGAGCGTCTGGTGGAGGACGAGAATCAAACAACAAATACTCAGAAGAAACACTGTCTAAAGTTAACTGATGAGTTTCTGTTAAAACTAAAAAATCAAGCTGATGAGTAACAAGCCAAGCAAGTAAATCTGAAAAATCCAGAGGCAAACCTCTACAGTTGAAGGTTCCAGAACGAAAGGTCCACATTAATTGCGAGATGTAGGTTCAGAACGCGAAGAACGGGCTAAAGAAACAGTAGCTTCAAAGTCTGCAGCAGGAAGATTAGAACGAAGATAATGAAAAACTGCAGGATCATGAGTAATTCGCAAGAGGTGAGCAAATCTTTTGTGAACAGCCTTTGCTACAGCAACTTGACGTTGCTCAAGTGATTGAACAGACCCAGAACGAAGCTGCCCAGGGTCAAAAAGATCAACGGGCACCTCATCACCTGGAAAAATGTCCTTGCGGAGCTTGTCAGCACAGTCAGAAGTACAAATAAACTCAGCAGTGTTACGCCCAATAAAACTAATATGGCGAATGTCACGGGAAAATTGAGGGTTTCCAGAAATTCGATTAATCAGAGTGCGGAGTTGATTAAGTGGCTGACGACTAATTTCCTTAAACCTCACAGTAGCAAACCAGCAGCACGATCACGAACAGGCTGAGGAGGATTGATCAGAATTGGTGACTCAGCCGGGTAATCAATCACCAATCTGGGTGGCCGTAGTGATCTGCGAGATAGGGGGTCCACTCCAGCAACCACTGAGCGATAAAGGGCGGGTTGAGCATCTGCATCGGCAGCTTCAATACGAACAATAGCATTTGATGCACGAGAGGCAAATTTTGCAGTGCTGAAAGGCCCAGGATTGCGAGTAGCAGGGGCAGGTGGCGGTCGGCTAGCACTCGCAACTTGAGCATAGGAAGGCACGGCAGAGACAGCGGCAGGAGGGCAGCTGATAGTTTCAACCAACGGAACTACAGCAATAGTCAATGCAGCAAAGAAGGCAGCCTCAGTCTCTGGTTCCAATACTGGGAGAAATTGCATTGCACGAGTGAAAGCAGACATCACTAATGGATGAGATCCAGAAGTTTGAGCAGGGGCCAGCATATGCAGAGCATCCAAGAATCGGTCACGAGGAGTAGGCAAGGGAGAGGTAGCATGATCAGCTGCAGAGGCATTCTTCTCGACCCTGGCACGAGAGGCAGGTCGGCGAGTCGGGGGTGATTTTGATGCTCGACGTTTCCCTTTGGGATCAGCATCAGCAAGGGTAAGTGACATTTCGACTGTATCATTCATGTGAACATCAACGACACTTGCGGGGGATCTTCCTCTAATTCGAGCCGGTTCTGAAGTGGATGATGCTTGGTCACGTGATCGGCAGTCACGTGATTCGCGAGGAGAATTCACTTCATCTGCCCACAGAAAATTTTCTCCATCAAAGTTGCTGGGCTGAGAGTCAGGAATGTTTTCCTGAGGGGCGCGAGGGTGGGACACAGAGGGAGCACGGGAGCGAGCACGGCCAGAAGCGATGAAAATTTTCGAGGGGGGTGCGGAGACGGAGAGAGAGAGAGAGAGAGAGAGAGAGAGAGAGAGAGAGAGAGAGATATATATATATATATAGATTTTTTTATTTATTTTTTTTTTTAACAATATTATTATTTATTTTGCACATACAGTGCATAACAAAAAACAACACCCAAAGTGCCTTACAAGATGGTCATGGACCAGCACATAGGGAAGCGCGCGCAGCATAAGGAAAAGCAACAAAGCAAAACAGAGAATGTAAACTCAAACCTGTGGCTACCCGTCAGATACTGCTAAGGTGCCAAAAAACAGGTGAGTAATAAATAATGAGAAAAGAAAACGTTAAAGATCCACAAATGCAGGGCCAAAGAGGGAGTCTGGAGGAGAAACTTCTAATGGCAGACCCATACAGTGAAGCCAAATCTTATGGAGACAACGAAAAACTAGATACCACGGTGCAAGATTCGCTGGGTTGACAATGCGAAGTGGACGAAGGCTATCAATTGCAACGTCAAGCGGAAGTTGTAAAACAGGAACAGGAACAGGAGGCAACAATAGGTCAAGAAGCAAACATTAGAGTTCCAAGCGTCCTTAGCTCAGCTGGGAGTAGCGTAAGACTGAAGATCTTAAGGTCCCCGGTTCAATCCCGGGAGGGCGCACACATTACACATCCTCGCTCATTTCCTACAGATAAGGAAATATTTTCCGTACACCATGATAGCTATTTTACCAATACACTTCGAATTCTTGCAAACTTCTATTTTGTATCTGGTAGACTCTATTGTGGGCACTTCACCAAGCTACTGCCAAAGTTTCCCCATCATACTGTTAACAATTCGGCTTGAACATAAACCTTATGAACAACGACTGTGGTTTGTCTGTTCAACCAGTTGACTGTGAGTTGAAGTCTATTGCCCCAATCATGTAGAATTCATCGAATTGTATGCAGGTGGGAGATTGAACCCTGCTCATGTGTCACTGTCCTGATTTGTCTGATGGGATTGGAAATTGTGCTCATTCTCAACCATTTTTTGTGACCTTTCAGAAATTCATCATTTTGAGGGTGGATTGACCTTTTATCATTTGAGTACATGCACAAATATCTCGTAGATGTGCAAGGAAATGTGGATTTTTGTAAGTTTTAGTTTGGCTACAACCCTCTCCAACAAATCTCCAACAATGTCATCACTCGCCGTCATTTTCAACTTTGTCTCGATAGAATTATAATCTGAGTTAGCAAACACTTGAACTGAATGAGCACTTTGCTTACTTAATCAAAGTGCTGCTGCCAGAGTTGTCCTCTATATCCATCTGAGTGACTCCTGCGAAGATGGCTCTTGCATGATCGAGTGATTTGACAAGATTGTAGTAAACTGGAAAGCACTCCTTGAGAATAGATTTCGCGAGTTGGTTATTCAAATTGTCGGCGCACCATGCAGACATGTCCCTGTTGTGCTTTTGTCAGAGTTGACCCTTCTCAGATGTGACCATGTTGTACAACTACATGTAAGCAATGAAGGCTGTGACTTGGTGCTGAAAAGCATCAATCGCTGGTCGATTGGCTCCTGCAGCTGGGGGCTGAATCTGACCAGAAGTGGTGGGCGTGGAACAGACTGAGGTTCTGCGATCGCATTCTGAAAGAGGAGTCATGCCAGCCCTTTGATTCTGCAAAGGCTTTGACGTCCATGAAGTAGACATCGAACTCATTGAGAGAAACTCCACTGAAAGGTTTTCGTTTTGTTGCTGTTGGAGTTGACATAGTTGAAATTGATACGTTGAGAATGATTGTGAGATATTGAGTTTGTAATTGTAGTGGTTGTTTTGTGTTGGATTATGAATGTTACAGCAATTACAATAGTCGCTTTAACAACCATACACACACAACACACTACGACATAACAGAAAGACTGGAGACGTCCAGGCGTTCTCAATCCAGGATGCAGAGAGGCCTGTCAGTTGTAATTGTTAAGCTGATAACAATCGTTTACTTGGGAACAGTAATATGTATTTATGATGGTGGGAATGTGTACCTACGTGTCTTACCACATATGGCAATACTACTTACATTACGTGTCATATCATTACAAGTGTATTGTTTGTTCTCAATTAGGAACAAAGAATCCATTGTTTGATTGAAGCACTATTTCGTAATCAGAGAAATATGTTACTTATTGGGAACAGTAGTTTAGTAATCAAGCCGTATCTGTATAAAAGGTACGCTCGATGGTTGAATGGCATGTATGAGTCTCATGATCGACTTTACGCAACCACGAGTAACGGAGTATACCGCTGCCCTTCTCTCATAACACCGATTCAGCTCCTACTGCTCACTTTGGCAATACAAATACACATATATCCATCAGATTGAGACATGAATTTGTCAACCAGTAAAGTCGGGTGTTGTCTCTATAAGTGTATATATGACCTGTGAGAAGTCATAGACATTTCGCGTATCTCTGACGATTGCCTTCATTTGGGCAACCTGGATGATGGACAAAGTGACTATCTTACAAAGTATCTTTTTGGATACTACCTTCTCCATGGTTTGAATTAGAGAGCGTGGGCATATAGTGTTGTTGACTTAGAGAATATTTAATGCCTGATTATTGGGTAGTTAATGCCTGATTAAGGGAGTCAGAGAATGAAATACAACACTTAACAATCTGGTGAGTCATGGTATCTATCAACCGCTCGGAAGTGCCGTTATCAGTTAAGAGGAACTGGAATTAACAAAAAAATGCGCAGAGCATTTTGCTGGCTACTTGATCAAAAGGAACGTTTTTTGCCACCAGATATTTGGTGAATCAGAAACGAAGCAAGTCAACTCTCTGCATTACTACCTAATGTCTAGATCTACACGAAAACAAGATCACCAACCGAGAATGAACTGCTCTCAACAGGCCCAGTTTGGTTTCTTGGTAGGGAACATAGTGTTCTAGCTCCTCAACTTTTCGCTCCCCTTGCACGTTATCGATCGGAGAGGGCATCGATCTCAATTTGAAAGTGAGAATATGGGAACTAGAGAGCAAACAAGTTACACGGATCATGCTCGCCAGGACCTAGCCTCTAATCAACGATCATAAATGCTGCAGCCTCTAATCTGCGATGAAGGATTGACTCGAGACTGACATCGCCGATACCCTGATCACAGAGTAGAAATCTGTCAGGGGATCTCTCAACAAACGGTAGCAACTTAATTTAAAATGGAATCGTGAACAATTAAATTGATGCGGCTGATTTTGGGTTCCATTTTAACCTTTCAAGACACCATAAAAAGCATCTTAACACTGCACTTTTCAATACAAACTAATGCCGCGCTCATTTCCCACCAACAAATCCCTTGATCATGTACATCTTTGTCAAGCTTGGCCCAACAAATTGGTTGATCTGCTTTGCATACGTGTCGATCTGGTTCGTCTTAATCAGACTCTCCAACCTGCTCGGCTCAGTTGCCAAAACCCTGTTCAAGGCTAACTGTGCAGCGTTGATCTCCTCATCCGAGACCGGGCCGCCAGCTGCCTTCTTGGCTTGCAGCTGCTGCAGCTTCGCCTGTTCTTTCTGTGTGCTACGCTGCCACCCTTGCCACCGCCACTGCTCCTGTCCAAAGTCCTCGATTGTTTCCCCGAGGTACTCGAGGTGTTTCTCGAGGTACGCGTCAGAGCCGAGCGCGAGGTTGTCAAAGTTTGGTGTGAGGGGGGCGATGTTTGTTGGGAGATGAAGCGACGCGTCAAAGGTCGATCGTGGGGTGGCGAGCGACCTTGTGAGGGTGGCCGGGTACGATGTCGACTCCTCGAGCTGGTGGACGAATGCGGATGCGAGAGGGGAGGAAACGACACGGATCGGAAGAGTCTCGAGGACAGAGGAGGGTGTCATTTTGTGCTGGGCGAGGCTCTCCATGGTAAATTTCTTCGTCTTATAGATCTCCATGAAGGCATCGCTGAGACGCATGGCACGAAGGCAAAGGTTTCCCTGCATGGTGCGCGTGGGATCGTACACGATCACGACGGAGTGGCTGATCGTCGTCTGGTAGCTGAACTGCGTCTCGATGAGCGTCTGGACATTCCAGTATGAACCAAGATTGGTCGACTGGTACCATCCTACAGTGTTTGCATCGTAGTTGAGCTTTCGCAGGGATCGAAGCATCTGTAGCGAGTATTCGGCCTCGTCATCACCATCCTCCTCGTCACCAAGCTTTGCAGTGAATGGGAAGCAGTTCGTTACTTCGAGGGTACCGTTTACATCCACACCGATAAGCTGACCGGTCGTAAGTTCAGGGTAGTGATCGCGACAGTGCTTTGTGATTTTGAGCACCACGAGTGGGTCCAGTTGCACTTCTTCCAACGGCTTCTCTTCTAACAATGATGGGTCCAATCCCTCCAAATTAACCGTCATCTCGCCATTTGCAGCAGCAGCGGCCGACGCGGCAGCAGCTGCAGCTCTCCTGCGCTCTTCCTCGGCAAGGAGCTTCTTGTTCGGTCCAACAATAGCAGCGAGAGTCGTCATCTTGAAAATCTCTTGAAAAAAATTAACCAAGCCGTTAATTGAGGTTTTCTTCGACTCGTCTCAGAATGGATAAATTAGTTTGATCACGTGGAGGAGGGGAATGATGCGTTCGTTTTGGGTAATGATTGCTCACTGCATTCTTAAAAGTGGCTCCTATATATCAAAAAGAGTATTTCGGTTTGGTGAACCGTCGCAGTAGAATCTCCAAGGCTGCATGCCCCCCAACTTCCAAAATCGTAACAAAACAGCATGTTCGGATTGAGTCTAATGGATTTCGGCACAACGTTGACACAGCAGTATGAAAGCTATTTGAGGCTTCCTCTCCAGATCAAATTGCTCGTATCTATTTGGACTTATCGCGTGATGCAAGAAATGCGATCCAAGATAAGATTGCCAATGCACGAACGAACCTGATGGATCGCTGTAAGGGTGACGGTGTCAGGAGGCTGCAAAAGGTCTCGCTAGCTGTTTCAACTATACAAGAGTTTTCTGAATTCTCCGCGGATCATCCCTCCCACTTTCTGCTTGTGATGGCCACTAACGAACACGAATTCATCGAGGGCACACAAAAGCTTGTCTGTCTGTCGGCATTGGCTCAAAGCTCGCTCCGCAAATGGAAGTTATCCACAACCAAAACCAAATCATCAGTTAACTCGTTCTCACTACAAACAGAACGCTTTCACAATATCGAGACGAGAAGCTTCACTACCAAGCACTCAAAGACATCACCCCGATAGTCTCCACAATCAACTATTCCTCCAGAGATTCCCGCCGGGCGCTTTCTCCACGCTCCGCAAGGCAGGCGTACTTCTCCCGGACAAATGCTTTCCACTGCAAAATGCGACCGCTGCACCGGAAAAGACGATCTCCGCATTCTCAGGTGCCCAAACTGGGCACAAGAATCTCTCTTCCAATCACCCTCCAACGAAGACGATTGGCAGTTGCGACTGGTGCAGTCTCGATTTCAATGCAAAAGATAAGCGTGTTTCTGCATTACTCGAGTCAGAGTCGCGGCTTTCGTAAGACGTGGTTCTGCTCATTTCGATCTTTGACCAAATGGAGATTACTTGTTCGAGCAGGCGTATGAGTAGATGCGCACGACGCGTGAGGAGTGCTTGAGAGAGTTGTGCCGCGAGCATTGGACAGGGAACTGGCT